GGGGGGGGGAGTGGGGTGGGAAGGAAGCGGGGGGAAGCACCTTGCTCAAGGGAGGAGGCGGAGGCAGGCGGGGGAAGGGAGACCCCACACCAGTGGCTGGAGAAGGAGGCAGCACAGGGAGTGTTTACATGGTCAGCCCTGAAGGGTGAGCGGGGGCGGGGAGGCCATGTAAACACTCCTTCGTTATTTTAAATCCATCATTCATAGCGGTCAATTGGCTAGTTCATTTATAAGCATGTTACTGTTATTACCATATTTACCGAGATTCAAAATGACTTTGAAGTTTACCCTCCCCTCCCCCACAAATAATTAGATTCTATACATAGAAACTCTATACTTTTTATATAATTTTCCATGTATAGAATCTAATTATTGGAGGGTTTGTCTTAAAATTCATCTCTCCCTCCCCACCACTGTTACAACAAGGAAAGCAGCAGCTGGGGGGGGGGGGAAAAGAGAGAGCCTGGCACCTCATCGCCCCTGCAACTGTCCCCCTGCCACTGTCATAGTGCCTGTGCACCTTCCTGCCTGCACCCGCTTTGCATGCCCCCTGCCACCTCTGCCCTCCTGCAGACTCTGCCTCCACAAGTGGTCCCTGCAGCTTCTGTCCTATCCTGCAGCCTCTGCCCTTCTGTCTGTCTCCCTCCCCTACAGTTTCTACCCCAGGGGTGGACAAAATGCAGCCTGCGGGCCAGATGTGGCCGCCAAGCCATTCTAACTGGCCCACAGGGCCCCTAAAAATTTTAGAAAATTGTTGTTAACCTGCCCTGGGTTGCCTGTCATGTGGCCCTCAATGGCTTGCCAAAACTCAGTAATCGGCCCTCCTCCCAAAATAATTGCCCACCCCTGTTCTACCCCCTGCTACTTAATGTCCAATAGGACTCCAAACCCATTCTGGCCTAGGTCTGCAGCACAGAATAGCTCCAACCCTGGCCTGGCCATGCAGTAGTGAAGGCAGCTGGTTGTGGCCCAACCAGGCTGAAGATACCTGGGGTACCCTTTGTTCTGTGCCCTGGGCTAGAACAGAGCCAATCGTGTCAGACGGTAAGTGGCTGGAAGGGTGGGGAGCGGAGGGGAGTAGGAACAGAAGTTTCAGGGGGCAGGCAGTTTCTGTGACTCCAATTCTGATCATGACCCAGGTTGGGACTAAAGTCAGAGCTGCAGCAGCTACCTGTCCCACATCCCCACCTTGCACTCAAGGGGCTTTTTACCTCTCTATGTTGAATGAAGAAAAACACCTTGTCTTGGATTCAAGTAAATATAGTAGTCTTTAATGCCCTAAACATCAATGTATGGATTGTAACTAACTCCTGAGATAGAATATTCTATATATTGCAGCTCTCTGGTAAAATGTCAAACATTCTTACGTATTTCCCTCTAAGAAATGTATAGCACAAATGGAAAAAAAAAAAAACACACAAATCCTTTGAAACAGTGACATATTCTGTATTTAGAATCACATATCACATAATGCTGCCAATCTAGCAATTTTGAAAGTTACCATAGACTTAGGCTAGGAGAAAAATATGAAAACCAAGGCAATGAGAGTATGAAATCTACAGTCATTTGAGAGATGTACTTATTTTATAACGGGCAGGCAAAGCTGATATAATCTAGTTACCATAGAATATTACAAAACATGCTTTGTACTGCTCTTGGTACATAGTTTCTTTACAGTGTAGCTGCTCTTACCCGTTTCTGGCTGACAGAATGTGTACTGACTGCTAGAGGAAGAACCCATGTTAAAATCTTCTGAACTCTGAGCTTCCTCATCATCAACCACAGCTTCTTCTTGGGTGGGAACTTCTTCTGCTTTAGGTGTTTCAAGGGTAACAATGTCAGAATCATCACTATTAGCCCCAATACAGGAACCATCATCAGGCACACTTTCTTTCTTTGCCTAAAAGATCGAAACAGACATACCAAACAGAGAGCATTTTAAATGCTAAGAATTCTTAATGCTTTGCAAGCAAAAGACTGAAACATGTTGTGTGCCTTAATAATATTGTCTGCTATTGTCAAATTGAGTTTCTGAAATGTACAATATAAACTTTACCTCAGGACCTGCTTTGGTTTCCTCCAAGGCAGACAGAGGAGTTTCTACCATCGATGACCCACCATCTTTGTTGCCTTCTACTACAGTACAAACAAAAGTTATCAGTGCAGGATTAAACACAATGACTCCACTTTTATTTAGTGCCAATGTAATACCAATGTGTACATACACAAACAATTTCTAAAGTCAAATCATATCTGAAAACACTTTCAGCAAGCATATTTAACTTCATTATTTAATATTCCTCTAACATAGGGGTGGGCAATTATTTTGGATAGAGGGCTGCTTAACAAGTTTTGATGAGCTGTCAGGAGCCGCATAGGTCGCTTCGCCCCTTGACAGTTGCCCCGCCCCCTGGTCGCCACACTGGGACCAGAAGTCTTGCCCCCTAACCCCTGACCTTTGCCACTGGAAGTCCCACCCCTTGCTGCTCCCTTCCCCCACAATACTCCTTTTGGGAGAGGGGGTTGGCATCTTAGAACCAGAAAAAAGCAAATCATACAGTAGAAATCAAAATCCTACTATAATATATTTTCATTTTATTACAAAAAATGTCATAACTTGTGCTTGTGTACTGTATATAGAAGGGATTGCATAATAACTTAAAAATGAAGTGACACTTTTATATTGTGTGTATATGGTGGGGTGTGGCTAGGGGTGGAGAGATGGGTGCGTCTGTCTGTGTGTATGGTGGGGTGTGGGAGTGTGTGGGGGGGTTGAGTGCATAGCATATGTTGAGGCATATGTATATGTCAATGGGGGTCGCAGGGACAGGGTGTGGATGTGTATCACAGGGCTCCGTGCCGTGCACCTGCAGCTCCCACACTCACAGCAGGGAAGCCCTGCGTTGGACTCTGCGCGGAAGCAAGGAGTGGGGCTTCCTCCACTCACAGAAGAATGCAGGGATCTGCGCAGCAAGGGGCGGGGAAGGCAACAGGCTCCAGCGCAGAGCTTCCCCCACTGCAAGTGTGGGAGCTGCAGGCACGCCAGTGAGAGACAGTCGGGCAGGCTATGCTCCCCCATGCAGCGCTGGCCGGAGCCGTGTCCCACTGGGCACCTGCACCAGGAACAAGTACCCTGACCTCCCCACTGCTGCCAGACAGCGGGGGCTGCACACCATGGGGGGAATGTGAGGGGTCCCTACACCCCACCACCCACGCCCAGCCAAGCCAAGCTCCATGCTTCTGCCACCCCTGTGGATGCTGCGCTTCTACCCAGCTGCAACTTACCCCCATGCCTAGCCCGGCCACCATGGGGTGGCTGCAGCAGGAGCTCCATCCAGAAGCTCCTGCTGGCTGAGCAGGGCCCTTCCACCCAAGAGGCTGGGAGTGAGATGCAATAGGGTATGTTGGGGGGTGTACACAATGGGTGCCTCAATCCCAACCTTGCAGGGGGGTGAGGCAGTGAAGAGCTGAGTGGGGCACAATTTGTTGCGGGGTGCCACAGGCCAGATGAAAATGCCTGTTAGGACAAATGCAGCCTGTGAGCTGTATTTTGCCCACCCCTGTTCTAACACATATCAGAGACCAAGTACTTTGTCACTATAATAAGATGGTTTGAGGAAGTTATTGTTCAGACACTCCTTCTAGCTGTAATCTACGTCCAAAAGATACAGTGAGATTTAATTAAACAACATATCATCGGTTGTCAAGACATTATGGTGGGCATTAGTAAATCTGGATAATTAATGGACTTTTCAAAGTAATTACCAGATGATAGGGGACTTAACCCTTTTTTTAATAATGGAAATTATATATTAGACTAGCCAATTGCCCGTCAAGAATGACAGGTGGGGGAAAGCAGGCAGAGATGGAGCCCAGTGCTGCCACCACTCCTCCAGACCCACTCCCCCCTTCCCTCCTGCTGCTTGGGGTCCAGACCCACTCCCCCTGCTCCCTGCCACAGCAGTGTGGGGAGCGGATGAGCGGGCCCGGGCCTGATGCAGTGGAGGACTGGGCCCAAGGGTAAGGAGAAACCAGGCCGCCCCAGGGTGGGTGAGAGGGGGAGCACAGGTCCGGGCCAACCAGGCGGTGGCAGAGGGTACAAGAGGAACGGGCTCTGGGTTGATGCAGAGGAGAGGGGGTGGGGGAGGAGTGGGCCCAGGCCCGAGGGAGAGAGGAGGTCTGCTCTTCCCCTCCCCCAACTGCTGCCGCATCGGCCTAGACCCTCTGCTCACCCCCATACCCATGGCAGGCTGGCTTCTCCCCCAACTACAGCTTGCTTCCCCCTCTCCCCACGTCGGGCCCAGGCCCACTCCTCCCCTCCCCCCACTGCTCTGCAGGCGGTGATGATGGAAGGGAGGAGGCCTCACCCCCCTGACCCCACTCTGCCCCTGTGCCACCGCTGCCATCACCTCCAAGGAGCAAAGTGTGTGTGTGGGGGGGGGGTGGCGGGGGGGGGGGGGCAACTCCAGGTGCCAGGAGAAAGGTGCGTGGTGGGGGGGGGGGTGGCGGGGGGGTGAGGCCAACTCCAGTGGCCTTCCTGCCCTGCCCCCCTGCTTCATTCCCTGTGTCCCCACCATCATGGTGGCACACCGCCCCCTGTCCAAGCACTTCTACACACTCTGATTGGCTCTTCATCTGCCAACTGGAGCACAAATAAAGCGTTATGGACAGACAGAGAGATTAAGTCTTTTATAATATTAGAACTCCAAGAAAGTAAATTAAAAATTCTATGATCATACAATACCTGATAATGTATTTTACCACTTGTTAAAAACACCGAAATATCTTTCTGCAATGATTTCACTGTTAAGATCACTTCATAAAATTTACCTCAAGTGGCATGAAATTTTATAAATGAGGAAATAGTATGCACGCACATTTTCATACACCTAATACAGGTGTGCAAGTATGTGTATATAAGTTCAGTTTGAACACTCTGTACATGCAGAAATCCTGACATACACATGAATTCAGGAAATTAGTTACACTGGGTGTTTATACATGAGCATTCATATTTTTGAAAACCAGTTCCATAACCTGGAAGAGACAGTGTGGTTCAGCTGATAAAGCACTAAACTGGGATTCAAGAAGTCCAGGTCCTGTTCCCCACTGCCACCAACTTGCTGCATGGCATTTAGCCATATATGAATATATTATATATTTACATTATCAATATATTATATATTTACAGTATAGGCTCCTCTGGTTGGGACTTAACTGTCCCCAAATCTTTGTTGATACTAGAGAATATTGTAATATAAATTCCCACCTTGATCAAAAACAATTTTTGAAAAGCACTTAAACTTTAAAATATCATTTCAGAGAAACAAATACTGGTAATGTTATTGGTTTAGTTGCTATAACAGAATATCCACATATTTTATAAAACGGCTCTGGTTTTAATATCTTACTGCTTGAATCTAACGGTTGCTCCTCCTCTTCTTGCAAAGTAATATATTCTTCTGAAGCGAACTCATGGTTACCAGTTGTTCCACCATTTTCAGAAACCGCTGTTTCTATGTCAGAACCCTGAAGAAAAATAGATTTGCTTATATAAAAAGTTATTTTAATACTAAGGAACCATGAAAGAATAACAGGGAAAATGCAGTAAACAACAGTAATCAACAAAAATGACTCCTCCAAACTGAAAACTGGAAAGCTCTAAATTAAATAATTACACTAAGAAGGTAGGGGAAATACTGAAAAGGCAAACTATGATGCACACACCACTGAATTAATACTTAGGCTTATCACTTAAATTATAAAACTTGTTTGGAGTCAATTATAGTATATGATGTTTTATTTGACTGAACATGTAGATTTTAGAGATCAAATATCTTGCCTTTGCCAGTTTAAGCATCTAGAAATCCCTTGTCCTAAAAAAGATGATGTTGAACAGTCAAAGATATGGTTCCATACCTGTGAGCATCATTAAAATCAGCTCAACATGAGGTTAAGCTATAGAAAGTGATACTTTCACATGAAAAAGTATATAATGAAACCAACACTATTGCAGATGGAAAGCAACAGGTGACACTAATAATTCAACAGATTTACAAAGCATAATCTATTAGTTAAAGTCTCAACATGCTTAACAATGGATCTAGATCACAATAAAAAAAAGTGTAAAACAGTATGTTCCTCTTAAGGAATGGTCTGTTTCTTATGCAGAAATATGCCATCTGAAACGGAACATTCTCAATATAAATTTATAGATCCTTATTTCAATTCTGTCCATCAGATACTGACAAGCAGGTGGTCCAGTCTCTCTCTCATGCATGCACATGCACAAATAGCTCAGTGCATGTCATGTACAGAGTGCCGCTTACATGATGTAAAATTACTTGCATTTGATTTGATGTTCCCTAGGCAGCACAGGGGGTCAGTCTTGGGTGCTCCAAACAGTCTACACCCCAGCCTCCCTGTGCCACATTCAACACCAGATCTAGCCCATGTGCTGCAGGTAGCGCACACCCCATGCAAGTCCCATGTACTGTGTGCACAGCACACCATTTGGCTGGCACATACTACATGCAGCGTGTGGGGCCTGACTGGCTGTGTGTGCTGTATATAGCACAGGAAATCAATCCAGGACGCGCATTGTATGTGGTGTCCCACCAGATTGGCTTTTCATGCTGGTTACACCACAGCCCAATGAGGACTGGCCCTCAAACCAACACATTGGGCCAGTCCAGTAGGGCACCGCATGCAGCACCTGCCCCAAACCAACCCCCATGCGTTGCTGCAGCAACAAGGTCTAGCCCACATGCTGCCTGCCAGCACAGGGGGTCAGTCCAGCAACCCATGAGCCAGATGATATGGCTCCACAGGCTGGATTTGGCTTACAGGGCGTAAGTCAGACACTCCTGGTCTAGAAATGCAAGTAGAATCAGAACCACCAACTATATTTAAACCTAAAAACTTTCTAAGACAAGACCTTGTTTTCAGCTGTTTATAAAAGTTTACCAAATTTTAGCATCTATCTGAAATTTTCTGTGCTTGGTGCCCGCATAAGAATGTTTTTCTTTTTGGAGCTGGAGAGAGACAGGAGGCAAGGAGAGAAGAGTTGCACTAAAATAGTTCAGCTATTTTTAAGAAAAAAGTATATTAACCTGATGTTACAACAAAATACATTGTACAAAAAGCAAACAACTTTTTCACTCTTGAATCTTTGTACTTTGGAACAGAAATTTAAATCTGGTAGGAGGTCATCCAGATATTAAGAATGTGTTCTTTGGTATTTATGTAAAAATTGGCCAAATTTCATAAATTAAAATCTCTCTCAAAAATCCACAGTTGCACCTGTTTAAAAATTGTTATTTTGGAATCTAAATTCTCGCAAGAGTCTGTTCTGTGTGTGTTCAAGCCCAGGCAACAGAGGCTCAACAGGCATTTCCCTGCAACACCTCTTCTTGTCAGAGGCACTGTGATACCAGCTACAGGAACAAAGGATGAACACCGCCTCCCATGTGCCTGTCAATGGAACGCAGAGGAGGGGTACCTGGTTTTCTGTGGGAAAAAAGCATTTATTCATGTAAACAGTGAATCACACTGCACATGCACAAGGGAACCATATTAAGGTTGTATGGATAACCAGTATTTTGGAATGCCCTATCTTTTGAATGCCTCACTTTGAAAGCTTAGTATTCTTTTAGCAGTTCATTTTTTAGTTTAATTATCTTTGCTTAAAAAAATCCCAAAAGAACAAAAAGCAAAACATTCATTATGTTGAAAACATAATGCCTTTCCACAGGGTCATAACTGGCAACACATAGGGGGTGCCCAACCTCCTGAGATTGGCAGTGCCCCCCTGAGAGAAACGCTGCCGGCAGCACCTACAGGCAGTTGTCACTTGTCATCCCCCACCCCTTGCCACTGACACTAACGGCCATCTGCAGGAGCTCCCCGCTCATTGCCACCACGCCCCTGCCGCCACCACCGCCATCTGTGGGAGGTCACCATGCCCCCCTAGCCTCTGGGGGCACGCATTCATGGAGGTCATTAGCATGCTTTGGCAATCCACAGTACCATCTTGTACTCCAGGCATACAAGGTTGAACTACATGGCTAGACTGTGTAGACTTGCTGCTAATGGAGTTATTTGGTGCCACCAAAGGAACGTTAAGTTTTGGGATACATGTGCAAATCAAGATTGTCTAAGGGAGTGTATCCCAGTGGTTACCAGCCTTTGGCCCATCTTACCTCTATCCCAAGCCTCTTCCTGTCCTCTTACCTTCTTACCCCTATGATCTTCCCATTTCTTCCTGCGTTGCATTAAATTGTACTGGGGCCCTGGGCAAGCACAAAATTGGAGGCCCCCTCCACCCATGGGAGCTGGGCAACACGGTGGGGGAGGGCGGGGGCTTCCCCTCCTGGTGCTGGCAGGGGAGGCTGGAGGGACCCTGCTGGGCTGGGGGTGGGGCACATGGCCCACTCTTCTTCCTGCTCCCCAACCTGCCTCTCCCACTATGGCCAAACACACACACACACACACACACACACACACAGGTACACAGGCATTCACAGACGGGTGGCCACTCTACTCTCACTCATGCTTTGCACATGGACACACAGACACAAACACACTCTCCCTGCCATGAACACAAGCGCGCGCACACAGATGCACATGGGTACACACACTACTCACTCACTCTCTGCACCTGGACACTGGCAGGGCACCTACAGTGCCTGCCACTTTAAGGTTCTTGTTGACAGTGGAGTAGCCAGCAGGTGGATGCTAGCCTCATCAAGGCTGGCACATGACCCTAGGAGGACCCTGGGATTGGCTGAAGGGGCAGAGCAGCCTCCATTTTAACCCAGGCCCTCAGAAAGAAAGGCAGCAGTCTGTGCTGAGCAAGCCAGGAGGCAACATCAGGCTGAGCTGCTCCTGAAACATTTTGGAGATAAGGGTAGGAGCTATGGGGATGGTTTGGAGGCTCCTGGTCCTGGGTAAGACCTAAAACTGCACCTTGCCGGGGAAGGGTGGTCTGGTGAGGCTGTTTGTGGTGGAACAGTCCCCCAGAAATGCCAGGCCAGTTACTACCCTGGTAAAAGGTGAGGAGGGGTACCTGAAAAACCCAGCCCCTGCCTATGGGTGGGTTGCTAAAAAGGGATGAGACCTGGGCCAGGCAAGCCCAGAGGGGGACACCTGAGCCCAGTGTAGTAGAATCAGGCATGGCAGCAGCCACCTGAGCCCCACAGGGTGAAAGACCCCAGCAGCCCAGTGAGTGGCCAGGCGAGTGAAGCGGCCCAGATGAGAGCGGTAAACATGAGTAGCCCTAGTGAAAGGCAGAACCACTGACTTGGGGAAACGGATATAATCGGAGGGGCTAATATGGAAATACTGTATGTGACCTAGAAACAGCTGCGAGGCATGGGACACGTGTAAGGGGAAGTCAGAGCATGTACTTAGGCCCTTGTTATCAAGAGGTCGAACAGTGGGCAGCCTCCCACCTCAGAAATAACATTCCTATTAGTTTCATCAAGGTGTGGCAGGTGAGTGTGGTAGGGGTTTAGCCCTGAACAGGTGGGTGGCTGGCACTGAGACCCGGCCGTGAAAGGCTAGCCTGTTACAGACACAAATACACTCTCCCTGCAATGGACAGATATGCACGCACGCACACACACAGATGCACATGCAGAGATGCTCACACATGCACACAGACACACGTTCCCCCAACAAGACCTCCACACTCTCAATCACTATGTGGCAGATCCTCCCCCCCCACCCCAACCAGTCCATGGCTACATCTTGCTCCCCACCGGCACCTGTTGCACTGACTGATTTTAAAGTTTGTTATGTGTCCATGCGGTTGCGCACATGCACAGGGCCAGGCCGTCTCAAGCCGGGAGCACTGTGCCATGCCACGCCTCTGCAAGCCGGTGGCGGCACTGGGAGGGGTGGGTACGGGGTGGCTAAGGTCCTTGCTTCCATCCATTACTACCTATATTCCCCTCCAACATTCCTTACCCTTCTGCTCTATATTATTGCTATTCCAATGTTCTTGTGCTGTCTTATTCCTGCATCTATTCCTGCCTCTCTTATAATTGCAGTTCCTCACTACTCTGAATTAAATTCAGGCTGCTTCCTCCTCCTTGCTGCCTCGGTGCCAAGAGGAGCAGCACTGAGAGGACAGCAGTTTCCCCTACCTGGTGCCACAGCTGTCCAAAGGAGAAAGTGAAAATCCTGCTCAGCCTATGGACAGTCCAATTCATGTGTAAGAGCTACAAGTGGATGCAGCATCTAGGGCAGATGGAATCTTTAGATAATTTAGCTGCCAGCCTCCAACAAGTTACTACTGCACTTGTGCAACCCTATCCTCCCTAACACAGATTACAGCTTGTCTTAATTTGGTTGATTTTCACAAAGAAAACAAAAGACATTCCTGACACCAGCGCAACAGAAAATATATAATATAGAAGTAATTGTACTAGACCGCAGTATAGCTTTTATACCCTATCCTAAATTAACAAGCCTGGGACAGCATCAAAACTAAACTGAGACAAGACAGCAAATGTACGGAACCAGGAATCTGCAGCCAACTGTACCTTGGTGATACAGTTGCCAACACTGCAATGACTAACAATCTTGCTTGGATAGTGAATATTCATAAAGCAACATTCCTGAAAAAGCCCAAGTGGAAATACATGCAAGTTTGTTAGAAAAATATTAACCACAGTGACCAAGGGAAAAATACTAACTCACCTTGGATCAAGACCAACTCCAACTGTTTCTGTAAACAGAGTTCACTATTTCTGCAGCAACAGGTGTGAGATTACAGCAAAAGATCAGTTTCCCCTCTGCCCCACTCCACCAGCTAAGAAAACAGGTTTTATTTTGTTTTTAAAGAAGGTGCTTATATCAACCAGAAACTTCAGGAATATCAGAGACCCCAAATAGTTCACACTAAAATATTTTTCAATACAGAATTAGTCTTCAGTTATAAAGTTATTAGGTTATTTGCATTTTTAAGATAGTTTCACAATTAAGTGAAACCACTTTGTGGTTTTTATCCTCCCTACTGACTACATGTTTTCATCTCGATAGTTTCTAAAAATATGCCACAACTAGAAACAAAAATCATTTATTAAAACCTGAATGAAAATACATACCACTTGCATGTTTTGTTATCACTTATGTCAACAAGCAATATGATGATACAAGCCAATAGCAACTGCCCTCTTACAAAGAAGCACTCCTAGAAGGAATCTACTTTCCTTTAAATAAAAGGGAATGAACCTGTGAACAACATTCCCACTGCATAGTTCAACTACGCTGTCACATTAAGTAATACAGGCTATGGACAGACTCAATTTCAGCCACGTTCAAGCAAATCTACGGCACTGGAAAACATGGCAAGAAGAGGGTCATACAGGTATTTCAGCCCCCTGCCTGGAGAAGTACAAAGTCACCTTAAAAGGTAAGCTCTCCAGCTTGGGGACAATAAAGAGCTGTTCATTGAGTCTCTACACCATCAGAGAAGCCCAGTCATTGACAGCCTACCTCTCCCCTGCCAGGGAAGGAGGTAAACTATCAGTGATCAGCTGGCAGCAATCCTCTCTGCCACCCCCAGCAGTGCTACTGTCAGAACCCCAGCTCCTGCCAGGGCTCTTGCAACAGTGGCAAGAATTCTTACTCTAATCCTCACCCCACCATGTGCCTACCCTGTTCCACCTGCTCTACTGATCAGCAGAGTGGATGGGGGAAGGGCTGGGAGGGAGGGGAAATTTCTGCCACTCCTTGAACAGTTCCAGGACTCTTGCCCATAGGAAGGGGCTATCCCTTTATTTGGCTGTCTTCTTTGAAACTCTGTATTTCATAATCGCTAATAATTCCTTTCCTATTAGTACTTCGGTAATGAAAATGCAATTCACTGGAAACAATCCTTCATCTTTCCCACTAATTTAGCTTAGTTAATCCCAGCTTCATGTTTCCCCCTCTCTTTCCAGTTCCTGTTGCGACAAAAACAGAGGGTCACAGATCTGCTAGTCTGAAATGCCCTGAAACCTACAGACCTTTCACTATGCAGTGTAAATTTTCTATGGCTTATGAAGTTTCTCTTCATATGATGTCTTTAGTCCAGCTAAACACTTTTCCATACCGTACTACTTTGCCTCGACAGGGTAAACCTACAGCGCCTTGAGCTCAAATGCAGACGAAGCATTTCCTTCATCAGTAAGTGGGAGCATCTACTGGTTATATGCCTAGATTGGAACAGAAGTTAGTCAGGCACTCTTCCCCACTTCCCCTTAAAAAGGTATCCTCTCCCCTCAGGTTAGCACCTCCCTGTCCCCGTAGGGGCCATCTTACCTCTGTAATTGTATTTGCTTGAGTTCCAACAATATTTGCCCTCACTGAAAACCCAGCATAGCTGCTTACTAAGATCCATCCTGACTCCCACAAAATCTATGCACTGTCAGTCCTAATCCTGATATCACGCTTCATTCCCAAACACACAGCAGCCATCAACATTTGTCTTAACCGACCTATGCAATAGTCCTAGGTTTGGGATTATGAAGGATTTGTAACTGCCCTACAGTAATTTAGGAATGTAGTACATTGACCTGGATATTGATGTTTACAGTATTAATATAGTGAGTTAAGTCTGGCATACAAACAGGAAAGAAGAGATGTATCTACACAGCCGTTTAGCACCTGACACAAGACACAATGCCAGAACTTCTGCTCTGGGGACTCTGGCTTTCAGAACTGGTTTGACCTGCCAAGCACAGGACAAGAATCATCTTCAAGAGACAAGCAGTAGTGATTCAGAGAAACAGAAAGATACAGAAGAATTCACTGGAGATTTACCATCAGAGTGAAGTAAGTATTTAGGTAAAATAGACAGATTTGTAGATTATTTACTGTTTTTTCTCTAAAGTGTTGTTTCTATTGAGAAATATACTATGCTTTTAGGAAGGCTCTTTCAGGACTTTATACCACAGAAAATCACGAAGCACCCCACAGTGCTAATAATAATCTGGCAATTGTCCCCACATTTTCTCTCCAAGTTGAAATCAAAGGTATTGGATGTATAAAACTTTTCACTTGCTGGAACAACCCACATCTTCCTTTGACCCTTCCAGAAGCAAGGAGAATCTATCACTTCTCAAGAGAAAAGTTTGGGTTCCTGCACCATGTAAGATTAGGGATCCTTGGCCCACCACTCCATTCTTCAACCTTACATCCTTTTTGCTATTACCCAAGGCAATTTCTAGGCAAACCTTGGTGGAACACTACTGGTCTCCCTGCAGTTCTCGAGGGACCCCAAAGCTAGAGGGGGATTTCTATAGCCAAATTTAACTAGAGCAGATTTCTCCTCTTACCTTTCTATAGCTTTTCTTTTCAACACAAATCAGTGCCACAGGTAGGGAAAAGTAAACTCGCCTGCACAGGAGCCCAAAGGCTTATGCTGATCTCATGTCAAGCCTATCAGCCAGAGTCCCTCTCATGAAAAACAGGGGAAAGGTATGCAAGGTCTTAAGTGGGGAAAATAGCCTTGTACTGAAAACAATAATGAACACAGAGGAAAAAAAACTTGTTGTGAAATGAAAAAGAATGGAAGTGCCTCCTTGAGGTTTATATTCAAGACAAAGCTCCCCTGTTAGATTTTACAGAGCTAGTACAAGTACTGCAGCTCCACAGCTGGTACATTTTCTCTAGTTTCTTGATGGGAAAAAACAGAATTTTGAGCCATGAATGAATATGAAGAAAGTGTGATATATTTCCCCTCTATCCATATCTTATTTAATTTTAAAATGATACCTTTTTTATTTTAATTTTTATTGGTCTATTTCAACACTGTGGTTAGAATAAATCTGAGCTCGGGTACACTTTATCATTCTGTTAAATATCCTTTTCAGACTAGGTCTAAAATTAATTAGTTCTATGTAGTGAATGGCTATCTGGAAGGGGACATGCCTGCCACAGTACTGAAATTTTCTTCCACCATTGAATACTACTACTATCTAGTACAACAGAGAGTGGAGCAGGCTTTCTAAGATAAATCTTTCCAGGGACAGATTCCATTTCATCTGTTTATGCTGTTGCACTGAACTATGCAACTGTCTTCTCATAGTCCATTCTCTGAAGGACTCTCTGACCTTGTAGCACAGTTCTTATTCCCTTTTATACTACTTTCCTTTTACTTTTCAAAAGGTTTCTTCCAAAATAGTGGCAAGAATGGGAGGGGTATTGCAAAAGTACCTGAAGCCAGTGGCGTTTTTATTGCCACATCTGTACACACTCTGATCAGAATCAGACAAAACGCTTAGATCCCTGCTACACTAGCACTCGCCTTTGAATGCCATCAATGGCAAAGGTGTAGAAGCCTGACTGGCAAGAGGAAAAGCTGGTTAAGCCCTTGGAAATCTGAGGCTTTTACCAATAATCTCTGACCTCTTGCCATGACTCTACATAGAAACAGAGAAAGAGAAGCTCCAGGATTATGAATGGATCAGCAGGTATGCTCAAATATATGATGGTGAAAGTGTATAACCTAAAAGAATATCTGCATCTGGTCACCCACATTAATATTTTTGGGAGGAGGGGAAGGAGGGCAAAATGGGGGGGTGAAGAGGAAGAGACGATGCTGGCCACAACAGAACAAAAAAATACAGCGTCTGTTTTGTGGAAAGATAGAATGGAGGAAAAAAAGACCAAATGCTGTCAATATCTTAAAAGGAAACCTATATGAGGTCTAATCATTTTTAAAAAGTGTTAAAATCTACACAAGATACTGTAATCAGCCTCCAAGTTCAACTACAATTTTTTTGTCGTTTTATTACATTTTCCTTTTTTTAAAAAGGTTATTCTCTTCTGTGTTGCTGTCTGAAAGATCCACCCAAATCAGAAATTTACTAACAACAAAAGGGAAAGGGAGAGACAGCAACATAAAATGATTTAAGTTAACAGTGATCCTTTAATATTATTTGTGAAACAGTACCTCATGATTGATGACAGTCCAGCCACAAGATGAATCACTGTCACTGGAATTTTCAGACATTTTCAAAGTATCTGCAAGTAACAGTAAACTTCATTAGCATGCAAGAAATACAGCTTTGCTGTTTTCTAAAAGCAAATAAAAATGTATACAAATTAAACTCAAAGCTTTGTAGTTATAGAATATTTATAGAATACTTTACACAGCTCTATATTTTAAATAAAAAAGAGCAAATAAAATTTGCTCTTTAGTACTTCATATTGCTCTTTAGTATTCAATACCTAAAAAATGATTCTTAAGAAATTAAATAAATATTCAGGATGATGGTCTTTTAATATTAAAACTATGGACAGTGTTTTCCCTTCTGCAATAAATTTGGTTTTCTTAGCTACACATCTGTTTTATCTAGGGAAGATGCTCAAAAATCCTGCTGCAATTTTAGCAAGAATAGTTAATCCAGTGAATAGTGGACAAGGTTTTCTTTAAACAAGTGACAGAAGCTTCCAAATCACAGGACTTGGTTCTCATGGGGCACTTTAATTATCAGGACATCTGCTGGGAGAAAACACAGCAGTGTACAAGCAGTCCAGCAAGTTTCTTGTGTGCGCTGGGGATAACTTTGTGATTCAGATGATAGAGAGGCCAGGGAAGGTGGAAGCTCTTTTTGATTTACTGCTCACAAACAGGGAAGAACTGGTTAAGAATATGAAGGTGGAAGGTAATAAGGGTGACCATGACCATGAAGTGATAGATTTTAAGATACTAAGGGGAAAAAGGAAGGAGAGCACCAAATTAAGGACACTGGACTTCAGAAAAGCAGACTTTACCAAACTCAGGTGGGCCTGATGGGCAGGATCCCTTGGGAGGTAACTCTAAGGAGAAAAGGAGTCCAGGAGAGCGGGCTGTATTTAAGGAGACTCTCTTAAAGGCACAGGAGCTAATTATCCTGATGTGACAGAACAATGGGAATTACAAGAGGAGATTAGCCTGGCTACACAGTGGTCTCTTCAAAGAGTTCAAACGGAAAAAAAGAATCCTATAAAAAAATAGAAACTTGGTCACAGTACTAGGGAAGAGCAAAAGAGTATGCCACAAGCATGAAGAAAGAAAATCAGGAAGGCCAACGCACAATTTAAGATGCATCTGGCAAGGGACATAGATTCTATAGGGAAGTCAAAAGTAAGAAGAGAACCAGAGATCCCATAAGTCCCTTACAGAATACAAAATCTAGTAACATTCAATGCAGAGAAATCTGAACTATTTAATGCTTTTTTGTTTTCACAAACAGAGGCAGCTACCAGATGACAAATGCAGATGGCAGCAGAGATGCGAGACAAATGGGCTAGAGTAATAGCAGAACAGGTTGGGGATGGGCAGAGAAGCAAGATGCTTTCAAGTTGATAAGACCAGATGGGATGGACCCGAGGGTACTGACAGAACTGGCGGAGGTAATTTCAGAGCCATTGGCTATCCTTTCTGAGAATTTGTGGAGGTCGGGTGAGGTCCCATACAACTGGAAAAGGGCAAATAAAGTGCCCATCTTTAAGAAGGGAAAGGAGGAGGATCTGGAGAAGTACACATCAGTCAGCCTGACCTCCGTACCTGGAGTAGGTCCTCAAATAATCTATCGTGAAGCACCTGGAAGGTGATCAAGAGCAGTCAACATGAATGCACTTACAGCAAGTCATGCCTGACCAAACTTATCCTTTTATGATAAAGTGAGAGGCCTCTGTGGATGAGGGGAGATGAATAAACCTGCTATACCTTGACTTCAGCAAGACTTTTGACATTGTCTCCCATAATATTTTCACTAACAAGCTAAGCAAAGATATACTAGGCAAAATACTATAAGGTGGATAGATAATTGGTTGGGTCACTGTATTCAGTGAGTAGTCCTCAAATGTCTAGTTGGGAGGCAATATCAAGTGGGGTTTTCCAGGAGTCTGTCCTGGGTCCAGTACTGTTCAACATCTTAATTACTGACTAACAAACAGCATGCTATAACAGCACAATAAGTCTAAAGAAAGAGCCATATGCAGGGCTGTCCCGGGGGGGGGAAAATCGGGGCGACCGCCCTGGGCCCCTCGCTTTGGGGGGCCCCCGCATAGCCGGGTAGAGTGGCACAGCGACTCCACACTGCCGCCGGCTTCATGTCCACCCCCGCCCCCCTCTGCACTCCCTGTCCCGACGCCAAATCTGCCGCCAGCTTTCTTGTGTCCAGGGGCGGGGGCCCGCACAGGTTGATTTGCGCTGGGCCCTGCATCCTGCTCGGATTGTCTCTTGCCATATGTTAAGCAAACCAAACAAAATAACCTAGTAATAGATCAGTTAATTACTGCAACTTTATGAATATTATTCTCAAAATAAGTGTTTTAAAGAGAAACCTACATTATAAAAGTATTTACCATACCTACCCAAATCCAAGACAACTTCGAATTTTTAAGACACCACCTCAAAAACTAGATTCTATACATGGAAAATTATAAATGTGTTTGTTATAATTTGCCATGTATATAATCTAATTAGTAGAAGGCTGTCTTAAAATTCATCCCCCTACCACTTGCTCCCTCACCTCTTGTCCCCACCCACATACCCCCCATGCTTGTACCCTATCCCTCTGTTTGTGCCTGCCCCCCACCCCTTGCCCCTGTGCCTGTCTACCCCCCTCAGCTCCCTGCCTCCCCAACCCTCTGCTCCCCCTGTAGCCTGTCACCCGCTCTTTGCCCCCACTACAGCCTGCCTGCCTCCCCCAACTCCTGCCTCCTCCCACTCCCTGCCCACCTCCTCCCCTTACCTTCTGCTGCAACTCAGCTCCTCCAAGGCAGTCAGAAGCAGAGTGGCCCCAGCCCAGCTACGGAAAAGTGGCAGCAGCTCCCAGCAGAGCTGGTTGGGACCAGAGAGACCAGAGCTGGAACAGAAGGTAAAGATGGAGGGGGCAGAAACAGGGGCAAGGCATGGAGGAGGTGGGGGGGACAGGCTGCAGGTTCCCGTCCACAAAGCCTGCAGTCTACCTCATCCTCCCTCCAGCCATATTCCCTCCTCGCCTGTCAAATGAGCTACTCTGGCCTGGGCAAGCAGTGACTCAGCTCCAGCTTCAGCCCAGAGCCAGGGGCCAAAGCCAGAGTACTAGAACCTAAAATGAGGCTCCCCACCACCACATTTATTAAGGAGAAAAACCTTGTCCTGGATTCAAGTAAATACAGTCTGTATAAAACTAGAGGTCTTGAGCCGAAGCAAGCAGATGGCCATCTATCACACCCACAAGTGGGTCCTTTTTGATACAAAAGGACTTAAAAGGGAAACATTTAGTAAATTTCAAAAAATGAACTGAAAAATTTCACATCATACACCAGCTCATCTTCAACCCCATCAGTCCTCTTGTGGTGTCAAACCAGTATTTTTCTATTTTAAAAGTGTTCTCCTCTCACCTACTGATACAGAGTACTGTGAAACACACGTGCATTAACTGGAAAAGAGTATTTCCCCCCTTCTAGTTAATTTACAGCAATTTCTAGTATTACCCGTAACAACAGTAAAATGTCAGTTTAACTTAATATAAAATATCCTTCTTAGAAACAGACTACAACATTTTACATTATATTTTAGCAATTCAAACCTATGGACATGTAAGAAACCCATCTAGTCCAGGCTTTTATTCATCATAGCCAGTTAATATGAAATCTATTATTATTATTATTTAACCTTTACATTGCAGTGGCATTGAGGGGTCATATCCAGATAGGAAATCCACTGCAGACACTGAAATCACAGATAGTAAACTTTACCCTCCCAATATCATTGCTGCTGCCTTCTTTCTTAAAACACTGTGAATACTACCATTGTCCTGCCTGTCATGTGGTGACACAATAACCTGGGTGTCATCAATTCTTCATACCCAAGCTGTTTAAGTCTTAGAGAAAAAACCTACATAGAATTATTCTAAAACAGTTGGGGGGCAACATTTTTGACAGGTATGCCACAGATTAGCCCTGTGTCCTCCCAAAGTGCCACTCCAAACCCTTTCCCCCTGGCCAATTTGCTGCTCTGCTTTGTTTCCTTCCCTATTCTCCCTGTCTGATCTGCAGGGAGCTGGGTTTTCCATTTCCCATGAAAAAAACGAGAAAACCACTGATTTAACCCTTTACTAGAGAAAAGCACAGATTTGTCATTTTACCAGAGAAACCCGCAGGTTTTGCAGTTTTGCAAAGAGCTCTCTGCAAGGGGCTGGGAGGGAGTGGGAGGAGGGCACATACATGTGCGAACATACACATGCACATGGCCACCAGGCAGTTTGGATATCAGCTCCCAAAGGTAAGTGGGGGAGGAGGGGGTGGGAATTGAGGCCCCCATAGGGAGGGAGTTCAGCAGAGCTGGGGCTGCTGCCCAGCCGAGCGGTGCATGGGGCTGGGGCCTGGGGCCCAGGGCCATAATACATGGCTGCAGGGCCCTGGCAGGGAGCGGGACAGGGCTGTGGGTGGCAGGTCTGAGAGGGCAAGGCCAGCTCCTGGCCACTGCACGCGCTCCTGGGGGCAGAGGGGACCCATGCCCATCAGATCCGTGAGTGGGGGCAGGCACAGGCTGCCCACTACAGACTTGGACTCCCACCCTGCTGCCCTCCCCTGAAGCCTCTGCACCCTGGTGGGTGTGACCCAGGGATGCATGGCAGAGCAGGGCGATACAGGGCAACTTGTTGCTGCTGTGAGCTCCACACTCAATACATCTCCTGTCCACACAGCTACAGTGGGGGGGGGCGGCGTGGGGTTGTGCCAAGGGAACACATCACCAAGGAAGCACGGAGCTTGCAGCAGCAAGGAGATCCCTGTGTGGCCCCGCTCTGCCCCACAGCACCAGGTCACACCTGCTAGGCTGTGGAGCCCTGGGGGAGGGCAGGAGGCTGAGCCCGCAGCAGGCAGCCCACACCTGCCCCATGCATAGATCTGGGGGGCACATATCTCCCCTGCCCCCCTGGCAGTGCACACACTCTGCTGCAGCTGCTGCTACCTCCTGCCGGGGGCAGCAGACCTGTGTCCCCAGCCCCATAGCCGTGGCACCTGTGGGTCGGGGGGCAAGGGGCACCAACAGGGCCAGGGGGGCTGTGGGAGGGAGTGAGGGGCCTTTCATTTTAAATTGTGGATTTGGAGGGTTTTATCAGAGAATTTGCAATTTTTTAAATCAGGGAAAACCAGGATCCCTGCTGATCTGATACTCTGTTTTCTGCTGTGTCTGCCACTGTATAGCCTATCCCCTCCTCAAATCTACACACAGGCTGCCCATGCCATCTGCAGCACATGTGTTGCAGGTCAGTCACGCTGACCTAAAAATATGATGACTTTCCCCATCCACCCACATAGATAAAACTCTTGTCTAGGCTTCCACCATCTTGTGCATCAATAACTAAATATCTTTTTCTTCAGCCATAAAAATGCAGATGTACCCAGCTTATAACCATTCAAACTGTTTTCTTGCACTTCCCCATCTGTATCCATCTGTTTCCTCTTCCATTTTGCCGCTGGTTCTTCACCTTTTTAGACTCAAGGCACCCCTCAGAAAATGCTAACTCTTCCTTTTGACTTGTTTCTTTGATTACAGAAAAATAATAGAGCAAGTCTTCTGTTGCAAAGAACTCAGGACGCCTACAATGAGGCAGAATAGTTTTAATACCATGGATTCCCATTAGAAATTTCTGGGTTTATTGTGTGAGTTATGTCTGCACACCTAATAGTGCTAACACTGCATGGCACTGGCACCCTGAGGCAACCTTAAAAAGATGTCAAGGCACCCTAGGGTGCTGTGAAACTTGGTTGAGAAACACTGCCTTATAAACATATTATATACTCTTTGGGGAAGCAACTCTCTTTTTGTTCTATGCTTGGTCAGTCTTAACACAGTTCCATTTTGGTCCATGGCTGGGCCTCTATGACATTAATATAGGACAAATAATGCAGAGAAGTCTCTTACAATAGAAAGCCTTCTCCGAAGCCACTAAAATAAACAGGCATTTTCTCACTTAGTTCAGTGTCTCAGTTCTGATGGTGTTGATACCTTGGATCATGGGATCTCTGCTGAAACTTTATTCCTCTTTGTAACAGTAACCTGCCAGAACACCAAGGTTAACATTAAGATATATTTACGAAGACTCCTTAATTTCCATTCACATTAGCTTTTTCTTGACCATAACAAAGCTTATGGTGCTTTAATTCTTTTTAAATGGGGGTGATCAACCTCCAGGGCTGTGTCATCCTGCCAGTGTATCTTCCCATGGGTCTAGAAAGTTGATGGCAGGGAAGCAGTGGCAGTATTAATTACCGCTTACCAAATTATTATTCCTGTAGGGATCCCCAAGGGCTAGATGACAGGGTTCTGTGTACTAAATAGCACTGGTGAGTGGAATCGTTCTGCCATTGGATCCAAGCATATGGGGCTGAGCTGGTGTGCAGCCAGTTCTTGGCATATGAGGTTAGGCCACCACATGGCTGCAACTGGAAGCAGAGTTGGCCTAGCACATGGCCAGATGCTAGCGCACAGGTTGCTCTGCAGCTAGAGTTGGGAGTGTGGAGATGGGCTAGTAACATCATCAAATCTGGGACTGCAGGGTCATACCAGCACACTCACAGGCTGACCCAACACTGGATCTGGCTGGTGGACCAATCCATGTCACTCATCTAGCTCATGAGGACAGAAGCTTAAGCACCACTGTTTTTAAACATTCTGCTGCTTACGCTGGAAGGTTGCTGATTATCTTGAAAGGTAGTTTATTTAATTGGTTTTTAGCAGAGATGTGGGGCGGAAAATTTTCCAGTGCTTTACTCTTCCATTTCTCAAAATTCACTGTTTCATAAAATTCATTAGTAACAATGAATGGATGTCAATACAATACAAAGCAAGCTTGACAGTTTCAAAGTTGCAATTCATGTTTTTCAGGCGATTATCCCTAGGAAGTATGAGAGAGAGTACATATATGCTTTATTGATTTGTAAACAGGAGGGTAAATACACTCACATAATAATCCAAACCAAAAATCAAGTTATGAATTTACCTAATTGGTTGTGCATATCAAATCAAAGCCAAAGCGTGGCACATCATACACAGTTCTTCGGGTATGCTAAAAACTAGTGTGTCAACAGTTTTCAGTGCCTTCAAAGCAAGCTTGACAGTTTCAAAGTTGCAATTCATGTTTTTCAGGCGATTATCCCTAGGAAGTATGAGAGAGAGTACATATATGCTTTATTGATTTGTAAACAGGAGGGTAAATACACTCACATAATAATCCAAACCAAAAATCAAGTTATGAATTTACCTAATTGGTTGTGCATATCAAATCAAAGCCAAAGCGTGGCACATCATACACAGTTCTTCGGGTATGCTAAAAACTAGTGTGTCAACAGTTTTCAGTGCCTTCGTTTTTTTCTTAAATTTAAACAAACAACATAAGGGAAGTACATGCTATTGTATATTATCTTTACATTTTTACAAGTATTCCAATAAAAATCATTTCTTTCTACATAAAGCTTTGCATTCGTTTGAATATAACATTTAAACCACATTAGTTGTGCTGTATTTAATTTTGTTTCCTAATAAAATATTTCAGTTCAAGTATTGGGACACAAAATCAACATTAGGTACTTTTTTAGTTTTGTTTACTAAATATAAGTTAAATAAACATGCTAAAATCAGATCACGCTCTATAAAAGGCACTGGAAAAATTTCCAATTCAAAATTTTCCAGAAAACCCACATCTCTAGTTTTTAGCTACTGAACAGTAATTACAGTTTACGGCTTATTTTTTTACCATCAAGTAAAAATTGGTTTAGCTACTGCCAGGGTCTTGTTTTATACTGAAAGAACACAATTAAAAATAGTTTGATTCATCTACAACACCAGAAGCTATAATGTTATTAGCAGATGCCTCTATATTGTACAGTTGAGGAGGGAACTCTATAGAACACAGTTATAGTCAAGGTAATTCTGGACCTCACTCTACATGCAGCTCCTCTAATAGTATGAAATCCAATACAAAATTAAATAGGGTACTGTACACAGAAAACCAAGCATTGAGATAGACTATTCTCTGTTGCCATAGGAAACAGGACTAGAAGCAATGGACTCAAGCTGCAGCAGAGGAAATTTAGATTGGAGATTACGAAGAACTTTCTATGAGGGTCATCAAGCACTGGAACAGGCTACCTAGAGAAGTTGGAAATTGTCAAGAGTAGATAAGACAGACACTTAACTGGGATGGTTTAGTCAGCAATGCTCCTGCTTTGAGCAGGGGGATGGACTAGATGAGCTCATGAGGTCTGTTGCAGCCCTACCTTCCTGTGATCCTAAATAAGAGAAAAAAAAAAAAACTCAGAAGGTTGGGGCAACCAACCTTAGAGAGGAAAAGAAACTCAATCAATCAATAGTTTAAAAGCAACCTTCTAAGAAATCAAAGGCATGAAAAAAATCTGTGATATACAGCCAAGCCCTCAGATACCACCAAATTTGCACTGAAGAGAACACCTGGGATTGCCACCTCACCAATCTTAAAAAGGTTTTCACCCAACAAGGACACTCCTCCAGAGAGAGAGATCGCACGTTTGAAAGAGCCACTCCTCCAGAGAGAGAGAGAGATCGCACGTTTGAAAGAGCCACCCGGATACCACGTGAAGAACTACTGCAGTACAGAAGAAAACCCCCCACAAATCGCACACCGCTGGTTATGACATATGACCCCTCCCTTGAACCTGTACGGAAAATCCTCAAACAATTGCAACCCATACTAGAAAGAGACCCTATTCTTAAAAAGATCTTCCCAGAGCCACCCATCCTAGCCTTCAAACAAGCACCGCACCTCCAGGAATGTAGTATACCTCATCCAATGCACCAAATGCCCTGATGGAAGATATGTAGGAGAGACCAGACAACAACTGCGCACCAGAATGAATGCACACTGGAAATCTATCAAAGACAGAAATACCCAATTACCTGTGGGGGCACATTTCTCACAAGAAAACCACTCTTTCTCCAATCTCTCAGTCCTGATCCTCAAAGGAAACTTACAAAACACTTCCCAGAGACGAGCCTATGAACTCGACTTCATCAACCTCCTGGATACTAAAAATCATGGACTAAATATAGACGTTGGATTTATGACACATTATAACCTGCCTGACATCTGACTTCCCACATATCTCCCCACTTTCATCCCCGTTCCCACCCCCCCAGCCTGTGTCTCACCCATTGACTCATCAATCTACATTTTCACTGACTACCTGTCTTGTATGCATACCAGCCCAACCGCTGGCTTCTTTACTTTTCATTCCATCCAGGAAGAGCATGCACCAAGTACTGAAACTCCTTAGCCTGACGAAGGGTTTTTGAACCCGAAAGCTTGCCTAATAACTATTTTCCAACTATTTGGGTTGGTCTAATAAAACATATCAGATTCACCCAAAGAACCTTGTCTGCCTACATCCTTAGACCAACATGGCTACAACCTACACCCCTGAAAAAAATCTACCGTGCATTTGGAATGTTTGGGTTCTAAATTAGGGCTCAGACCTAAACTGCCATTTAAAAAAAAAAAAGATGTCACTGATGGTTCTTCACTGGACCAGAAGATGATTTCATTCCTTTTCACTCCTACTATATTTCTAATGCCTCCGACTAAGGTTATGATCTCACACCACAGAATCTTCTGATTTCATCATTCCACTCCCCCCACCTGTTAGAGACCTTCAGATCAAGTTCTGCTCTGAAAGGGGAACTTAAACACTATAGTCCAGTGTTCAGTGTTGGTTCTATATTCATTTGTCTGTGTTGTTTCTAGATACAGTTCATTTTGCAAGTTTGTTTCTAAAAAAAATTTTTTTTTTTTAAATCGGCCCACAAATCTAACTGGGTTTTTAGATTCAAACTTGGTTTGTTTGTTTGTTTGGTTCAAGCATCATCATCGTCAATAGAAAATTCTACAGGTAAAATATAATTAGCAATTCTTTCAGAAATGTGCGAGTTAGAGTGGAATCCAAAAGGCATAATAAATAACTTTGGTACTGAAGGAAAGAGACCTGGAGAAGTGTAATTTAGAATTAGAAGATGACATTTTTAACACCATAATTTGTAAAGGAAAAGTTGCACCTTACATGATTTCCTTCTACAAAACTAGACATGTCCAAAGAACACTTACCGCAGCTTCACAACAAATTCTTATCTACCCACAACATATACCCATTACAATTGCAGTTCAAGCATTGTACTTATGCCTGAAAATCAGGAAGTTAAACATTTTTTTTTAAATCTAAGCTAAGCAAAGCGAACTGTAAACTGAGAACATTTTATTTTTTTAACATTTTTCTAATCTTAACCTTGGGTATATTCAGTTATGCAGATCAGAAAATTAATTTTCTGAAATATGTATTTTCTTAATGGAAGACTTCTTTTTAGAGGAGTTTACTCTCTTACCAATGTATACAATAAGGACACTCCCATAAAGATTTTAGCTACAAATGCATGTAGACTTTATTAGTTTTATATTATAATGTGTATATAGAACGGATTTTTAGGCACAAGTATATTATATTATTTATTAGGTATACAATTCCAGATCTAGTTTAGCAAAATTCTGGCCCAGAGCCATGGGAAATACCAACCTCCAAGAGCGCACAAATCCCAGGCTAAACAAAACGCCAACCTTCTTCCATTGTAAAACAAGATCTGTTAGAGCAGAATCTCCTGAATGAACATTAACAGAGAAAAAAAATCAGCTACTAAGCAATGACTATGGAGGGATTTATTTATAATATTGCTGTACAGTTATTTTCATTATGACATAAGGGTTCTCTTTTACAATAATCCTACTCCTGTTATGCAAAAAAAAGAGTCCAAATGCAATCATAGTTACGGGGGTGCTGACATTCCTAGGTTTTGAATTGCAAATGTCAATTATTTCCTGCTTTCTCGGATCAGGTTCTCTGTAGAGATGCCTCCCACTTCACCCGGCTCTGCTGTTTTGGGGGGTTTTTGTTGTGCTGCGATGCTCCGGGGATCCAAACGCAAGGCACCACATGAATACACAGGGCTGCTTCGCTACCGCCAATCACCCAGCGCCCAGCAGCACCTGCGCCAGGCTTTGTGCTCTGGGAATATTGATCCTTCCCCTCCCCCGGGGCCGGCGGCGGGACGGCGGATCAAGCGGCGCAGGGCCAGAGCGGCTGAGGCAATAGGCAGGTGACCGACGACGCCCGTCCCTCGCCCGCTGCCGGCCACGCTGGGAAAGCGGCCCCTCT